TTCACTGCCTAAACCCACCTTAGGAGCCTTCTAACTGAACATCTCCTTCACTCGAGCAGAAACTCCACCAGGGCAGGGAGGCGCCTGGTCTGTCTTATGGCTATTGTATCTTAACCCCTTGGAAGGGTACCTGGAACATAGTAGGTGCTCAGTGAGTACTTAGTAAATAAATTTCTGCTGAGAGGAGGGACGGGGAGAAACTGAGTGAGGATACAGAGAGACGATGCAGACGGGAGGGAGTTCATGTTCGCCAGGGGACGAGGTTGTTTTCTGGGAAGGAACAGGCTACAGCCTGAGGAAGCTTCTGCAGGTTTAGGAGGGCCTCCCAGGGACTAGGAGGAGTGAGCACATGCCATGGAGCCAATGTTCAGGGCTTCAAAAACGGTTGAGAAGACTGGCATGGAGAAAGCATGTGTCGACATTTCAGCGAGGTGGGGACTGGTCTAGTGGAAATAACCAGGGTTCAAGCAGATGGTCAGGGCGAGGTGGCAGGTGCAAGGCCTGGGGGCACGAAGCCAGCAAGAAGGCCCAGACCAGGCCGCCTGGACCATGCATGCAGCCAGGGAAAAGAGGACCTGTCTGGGCGGGGCCCGGGAGGGCATCACGGCAGGACAGGCCTGTTCCAGAGGACAGGGCAAACTTCAGCCTGTGCTCAAGGGTGCACCCGTCGGGGAAACGTGGTGACAACAGGACTCAGACAAAGGGAGGAGGAGGTGGAGGGACAAGGTGGCTCAGAGAGGCCATGAACTCCTGGGCTGGTCTCCAGGGAGCTGGTATTTAGCTTGAAAAGTCTCAGTCTGAAAACCGGGCCTGCGGTCAGGGAGGAGTGACATGCCAAGACAGCCTTTGTCTCCTTTCACAGCTGGATCTGTTTTTATGTCCTTCTTGCTTTTCCTTTTTTGCCCCCTCTTTCCTTTAACCCACACCCCCTGAATATCTCTGAGTAGAAGAGAGGGAGAAGTCAGACAGGCGGGTGGACAGCTGGGCTCAGCTTCCCGTCCTGCTCCAAGTCTCTCTCCTTCTGATGCGGCCACCTCAAAACATCGGGAAGACTGGAGCTCACCACCTCACATTTGTTTTTACATCAAACTCTAGGAAGGGTGGGGCTCACCCAAAACACGCCTCCTGAGGCCCAGGGGAAGCAATTCCACTGTCATTCACACTTTCCCCAGGTCTGCTCCTTAGAGGTGGCTGGAGATGGGAAATCTGGCTCCTTTACCCCCTCCATGTGACGGAGGCACAGAGCGGGAGAGGTCTTTGCCTTCTGGGGAAGTAGACTTCTCAGAGACGGTAGAAGATGAAAGGATGAGGAGTGAATGCTCCTTCTCCCCACCCCCCAGACCACCCAAACTTCTACAGCAAGAAGGAGCCAGGAAAGATTGCTCCCTCCAGAAATCTCCCTTCACAGCTGCACATGGCCCAGCAGTTGGCGAACTCTCCCACATTGAGGGCTGCCAGGAGGAGGTGCCCTGTCACGGCCTCTTGGGGGTCACTGTGGTAGCAGGTACGAAGACTGAAAATGCGCCTCTCTGAGCCACCAATCCCCTTGTGAGATCTACCCTAGAGAGAAGCATGTGCATAAGGAGGTGTGTGAACAAGTGCAATGTAATACTGTTGGTAGAGCCTAAAAATTAGAAACACTGTAAAGGTCCCTCAGCAGGGGGATAGCAAAACAAAGGACAGCATACCCATAAATGGGAATACCATACAGCAGTTAAAAAAAAAAAAATCAGAACGCTATGTAGCAATATGCAAAAATCTCTATAAGATACCAGTGAGTGAACACAACCAAGTTACACCAGGTTTCTTACAGTTTGATATGATTCAACATATGTAAACAACCACTCCACAAATAATACCTAATCCATTTTCCACTCATAATGAATGATACACATAGGTGAATACAGGGAAAAGGTTCTGGAAGATACACACCAAACTGCATACCACAGCTACCTCCTTGGGGACACAGGAACTAGGAATGAGTACCCCAGGGCATCCAACCCTCACCTGTAATGACTTCATACTTTATGAGAAGAATCCAGTAGAGCATGCCTCGTGCAATGAAAACTTGATTTTTAAAGGTGATTGCCACTGTGGTTCATTACGAAAGCCTCGAGGGCAGAAGGGAAAGGATGCTCAGTACATTCGCTAGGTGAGAAGGCTGGGCTCCTGAGGGCGAACTGACCAGCCGCGAGGAGTCTACGCCCACGCTTCTCCGTCTGTGCTCTCAGAGTGACAGAACACTACTGGGCCCCGCATTTGGCTGGCCACTGATTGGTTCTATGTAGCTCTGGTTCCAGGGCACATAAGGGGTCCCTGTCCCAGGCAGGAGCTGCCTCAGTGCTGCAACCCTGCCATTACCACCGAGCCTGCCTGGACCCTGTGCAGGTTGCTTCCCTGTCCTACCACGGTCCCACCCACTCTGACCTTCGTGTGTTCTTTTACTGCATGCCAGGCATTCGTCTCCTCAGATTTATTTATTCTCAGAACTACTGTGAAGTAGGCACCACTATTGTTTTCCCAGTCTTACAGAAGGGGAAACGGAGGAACAGAGTGGTATTTGCTAGTGACTCAGCTAGCAAGTGTCAAAGCTCAGTTTGAACCTCTCATTCCCTGTGCTACCCCACCTCCTGCAAGCTCCTGGCTATGCAGTGGCCCGGAGATCACAAGGCTGAGAGCTGAACCAGATGACCACCAATGTCCAGGGCCCTAGGACTTCATGTCTTGGCAATGGTCGTGAGCAAACAGGACCCTCCCTTCTCCCTCTCTGCCTCCCAGACAGGAACAACAGATAGTTATTATGCCCCAACTATGTGCTGGCACTTTTACATCGGTGCCCTCATTCAACCCTCCCACATCCCAGTTACTATTAATGTTCTTATTTTACAGATAGGGAAGCTGAGGTCCTATAATGGGAAGTGACTGGCCAGTGGATACACAGCTGGAGGAGATACAGGTGGTCTCAGAGGAAGGTTTGACAGAGAACCTGGTGCTATGGCGGGGAACCAGCACCACGTGGAGGACCCTGAGATACAGAAAGTATGCCCCACTGCTCTGTCAGCCCTTCAACTCTTCCTGGCCTGGTACCCAGACCCAATTCCCAACTTCAGAGTGGGGACCAAATCCCAAATAGCAACTATCTTTTTGCTCCCAGGCTCCACGACTCCAGGGGATGCCCAGAAAAGCCACAATCATCTCTAACTGGTACCACTAACTCAAAGCTCCTCTCTCTTGCCCTCAAGGAGGCAACAGTTCTTTTTGGGGAGAGGGGACTAAGTGGAGAGGTAAGAGAAGTCTTCCAGGGCTACAGGGGGAAAACAAACAAACACAGGGCTTGGAACCAGCCAGACCTGGTTTTGAGTCCAACCCCTTCAATCACTAGCAGAGTGGCCCTGGGAAATTTACTTAATTTCTTTTTTAATTTTTTAATTTTTATTTTTTAAAAGATTTTATTTATTCATTTGTGAGAGAGACAGAAAGAGAACAAGCAGGGGGAGAGGCAGAGGGACAGGGAGAAGCAGACTCCCTGCTGAGCAAGGAGCCCGATGCGGGACTTGATCCCAGGACCCTGGGATCATGACCTGAGCTGAAGGCAGACGCTTAACCATCTAGCCACCCAGGTGCCCAATTTACTTAATTTCTGTGTCCACCACCACACCACAGGGTTGGTGGTATTGACCTTGAACTTGTTGTAAGGAGTGAAAGAGGCATGGATTGCAGAAGACAACACACTCTATCCAGAGATGGAGAGGAAGGGTCAGGAGCCACCCGGGGGAAGGACTGAAGAGGAGCCGGGTGGGAAAACTCCTTTCAGCTTTCCCACAGCCCGGGGGGCGGGGGGAACTTTATGAAGACCCTGAGCAGAAAGATAAATGAATTGAAATCAAGGGTATGAAAACAAAATGAAAGACCTGACCATTTATACAAAGCTTGGCAAGTGCCAGGCACTTCTGCTGAGCTCTTCCACAGGAGCAGTCTTTAAGCAACGTGATACACCTACTCCAGCCTTGGAAGGAGAGGATGACAAAGAGTGGGACACAGATACCAGATAAGGTGCCCGAAGGAGGCTAGTCAGGTAGGAGGTGATGCTCCTTGGCCTCCCCAGCTACTCCTCTGCAGACAGGTGGGGCCCAGGAGATGGGGTGGGGGAAATGCCTAGCCTGTCTCCCTGCAGCTGGGGTGTCCCTCTGGGTCTAAATTCCTGGCCCCCAGCACCTCATGGTGTTTGCTGGATGACATGGAATAACAGCCGTGTGATCCTGGGCAAGATCTTCACTTCTCTGTTTCGAGACAAACCCAAGCTCCAAGAAGCAGTGTGTGGAAGGACTACAATAAGTCAGCGAGTGGAAGTGAGGCACGGGCTCCCATGCACCCCGAGTGAGCATATATAATTACCACCATGCCCCAATGCCCACTAAGAGGTCTGAGCTGCCACTGTGACTTGGTCTCTATACCAGGCAGGGACCCAACTCACCGTCTGCCTCCAGACAAACGACAGCTCTTCTCTCAGCCCCATCCCATCTAAGCACCACCACAGGGTATGGGAAACCAACTTTCATTCCAAAACTGTCTTCAGTTAATGAAACTCACACACTTCCCTTAATTGTCCTAATGATTCCCACTTCACAGATGAGGAAACTGAGGCCCAGATGCCTGAGGTCATTAGAATCCAGGTCTGTCTTGATTCAAATCATGCAGTTCTATTTCACTTCATCCCCAAGGGCTCTGGGAAGCCCCAAACTTCCTCAGACCCAAGAAGTCAGCAGGAGCATTCACCCCGGCATCACCAACACAGGACCCTGTGTCTCCTCATGTTTCTTAACACTGCAGCCCTAGCTGTGCTGTGACTCAGCCTCTGTATCCAACTTGGGGCCAGCTATTTGGAAACAGCTCCCTCCTCACCAAGAGGGGGTACAGTGGTTGTCACCATCCTTTCTCGGCCTTTACATCTCTGACTCCCCACAACCCACTGGCCCCTTGCCCATGGTGGGGCACCCTACCTTGTGGGTGAGGCTGGGGTCTCTTGGAGCACTGTCCTCCTCCTCCGAGCTTCCCTGCTCTCCATCCGATGATAGGTCCTCTTTGGGGGCCGCCGCCGAGATGGGACAGACCTTATAAGGTTCTGTGTAGGCGCTGGGGTCAGAGCAGAGGAAAGAGAGGGTTAGAGCTCCTTGTCCAGCAAAGGCAAAGTGAATACGCCAGGGGCCCTGTTAATGCCACAAGCCATTACCGAGTGCTCCGTGTGCAAAGCTCCATGCCTGCCCTCCACGGGGACCTAGAACTGAATAAGACACAAGCCCAACCGTCCCTACATGCTCCCACTCCAGCCATCCTGGCCTCCTCCTAGTTCCCTGAACGTACCATGCTCTTTGCTGCCTAAGTGCCCTTACACATGCTAAGACAGATCTGTCTCTGTTAGATACGAGGCAGGCTGTGATGCTGGAGGGTACAAATAATTACTGTGAGGGCAAGAGATGTTCAATCTGGTTGGTCCGGCAGTCTGGACTGGCCTGGTCAGGCAGCAGAGTCCGCTCCCAAGGTGGCCATGTCCTCTGGGCCCGAACGAGGGATGCAGTGATGCAGTACGCTTCAGGATGTGCATTCTAGACCCTGGCCCCTGCCTTGTCATCAGCTAGATCACGGACAAGACACAACTCAGGGTGTGAGTTTCCAACTAGGGGCTGATGATATCTATTTCATTTTCTGGCTGGTGCTGTGAGGATCAGTGCTTGCACAGGTGAGGTAACAAACTCATACGTGTATGACTGTGACTATGACATAGGCATTGCCGTTAATTAATTAAACACACTTATTCAATAAATGTTTATTGACTGCCTGCTTTATGCCAGGCATAGAGATAGGCAGAGGGTAACACAGTGACAAATAAAGCAGACATGGTCCCTGTTTCAAAAAAGGAACGATGAATATATGATCATAAATTATGATAAGTGAAGGAGGAGAAGGAAGTGCTTTCATAGGGAATAGTGAGGGGGAACTGTCTGGACAGGCCAGAGAGGACTGCTCCGAGGCTGTGAGCAGGAGGAGGAGCTCTGTGACAGCACGGGGAAGCTTCAGGAGGGGCAGCATGTGACACACCAGCCTGCAGGAGGAGAACCCTCCTTCCTCTGACTTCAAAACTATCCCTGCAGAGGAGGCTCTAACCCCATGACAACCACCTCCTTGCTCTGCTCCCTGCTCCAGGTCTCCCTCTCCACCCAGCAGAGTGGTTGCTCCACAACAGGGATCAGGCCATGTTCCTCTCCTACTTGGAAACCTTCAATAGCTCTCTCCTGCCATGGGCAATGTGGTCCCAGACAACTTGTCACAAAATTTCTTCTCACACTCAAAATCCAGGCATTTGTTCTTATTAAATTCTTTTTTTTAAAAAAATTCTGTTTATTTATTTGAGAGAGAGAGAGAGCAAGCACGAGCAGGAGGAGCAGAGGGAGAGGGAGAGAGACTCTCAAGCAGACTCCGTGCTGAGCATGGAGCCTGATGTGGGGCTCAATCTCACGACCCCAAGATCATGATCTGAGCTGAACCAAGAGTGAGATAGTCAACCAACTGGGCCACCCAGGAACCCCTGGTCTTATTAAATTCTAATCAAATACTTATTTCTGCCCTCTGGGAATGGCACAACGAGGTGCAAGAATAATGGATGGATGGATGGATGGATGGATGGATGGATGGATGGATAGATGGATGGACAGACCGGAGGAGAGGAGGGAGCATCCAACTGCTGGAGTGGCTGGGCCAATGTTAGCCCAGGCCTCATGTGGGCAGGGACATTGTTCTTAGCTCAGGCCCAGGGCCAGGCAGGGAGAAGCATGGCCAGGGTAGGGGATATCAAGACAAGAGAAACTGAGCCTTAGGCTACAGTGGCACTAGGGGCCACCTTGGAGCTCTTTCTCAACTACTGCAGGAGCCAGAACCAGGGATACCTATCTCCAGAACACCTGGAACCCAAGAAACAAGGGGCTGTGTCAAGAGCGGGACAGGCATCCCCTGGTCCACATTGGGGCCGTGAGGTCAGACACATCAGGGACAAGGTGGCCTACTCCTGCCTGGGCTTCCGTGGACAAACTGTGTGTGGCAGCAACTATAGCTCTGCTCTTGTGTGCAGACACGCAGACTAGGTCCTGACCCAGGCTGAGCCGTAGTTCACTCTACTATCCAGCTGGCTACCCTTCTGATCAGACCTCTTTCTTCTCTCTCAGAATTGACTTTGTTGTCCTTTTCTTTCAAACCATGAGAGCAAACGGTGGATTTGCAGCAAGCCCTATACCACCGCCGAAGTGTAAAAGGGCTTGTGAGCACCTCCCCTCCTAGGACCACCCTACACCTTCTTCACTGCCCCTTCCCACAGTGCCAGGGGCCACTGGGGGTCAGAGGAACACCACACCTGCTTTAGCGAGCTCAGAGCCTCCTTCAGGAAAGTGACTGCATGGACCAGTCTCCTGGAGGAGCCCCAGCTCCCTTCCCTCTAGAGCCTCCTGCGTCAATTTGCACCGTGTGTGTCCTAAGACAGTGAGTGGAGGCTTTCTCCCCCTCCAAGAGGAATGACCACATTAAGCCCCAGCAGGAACCCATTATGCTCTGTGGAGGATAACTAGTAGTGGTGAGGGATGGAGCAGTTAACTGTGTCCTTGGACGGTTCTTCCTCCATATTAAGGAAAAGAAGGTAGATGCCACGCCTCTCTAAAATGCACTGTGCAGGAGGGAAGGATTCCCAGCCAAGCCTCCCACGGGTGAAGGGTATCACCATCTTCCCAGGCAGCAAGCTGGAAATCTCAGCATTTCCTCGCATAGCCAGCCTCTACTTGAACACAAAACCTCTCCCGAATTTACCTTGAAGTCTTCTCTGACTCCACTGGCATCTGTCATAGCTCTGTGGCCCAAGCCATCTCTTGCCTGGACGTCTGTGACGATTGCTTTCCTGTTCTCTCCCATTCCACCCTGGCTGGCCTCCAATCTGTTCCCCACCCAGCAGCCAGAGGAAACCTCCTCAAAACCCAATCTGATTGTGTCACCCTCTTGCTTGAATTGTTCAGGGATATTCTGGTGCCATTGGGATTCAGCCCCAACAGCTCAGGCTGTCGGGCGAGGCTCTGCTCAACTTGGGATGTAAAAAAGTGGGTGCCCTTGGGCCTTGAGGTTGCCAGCACTGGACGCTATCTCAGGCCAAGCAGAGGGTTGGATTCCACAAAACAGAGCCATGGGTGACACTGGGGAGACTGTCACGGAAGCCGAACCCCCAGAAAGGGGGAGGGGTTGGCTCAAGGTCACGTGGCAAATCTGGGCCAATACACATTGCCTCAGAGAATGCACCCCATTTTAGAGAGATGAAAACAGAGGCCCAGTCAGGTTCCCACAGTGCACCAATGTGTGCAGCTGGGTCTCAGGTTACCAGGCAAAATGGGGCTTTGTTTTTATTGTCTGTGCTATTATTTTATTTTCTGTTTGAGAAGTGGTAATGGGCAGAGATTAGAGCTCATACTCTTAAGTCAGATTGCCTGCATTCAAATTCTGTCTCAGCCCAGTACTGGCCGTGTTTAACTTCACCACGCCTCAAGGGTGCTTAATTCACTGAGCTGTTGGGAGGATTCAATGAGTTACATAATGTAAGACACTTAGAACCATGCCCAACACATAACTCACTAAATGGGAGCTCTCTCCATTACCAGTTCAGCTCTAGCTGCATACAGCTGTTCTACTATTTACCTACTGTTGTCTTTTTTTTTTTTTTAAGATTTTATTTATTTATTTGACAGAGAGAGACACAGTGAGACAGGGAATACAAGCAGGAGGAGCATGAAAGGGAGAAGCAGGCTTCCCGCTGAGCAGGGAGCCCAATGTGGGGCTCGATCCCAGGATCCTGGGATCACGACCTGAGCCGAAGGCAGACACTTAACGATTGAGCTACCTAGGCGCCCCTACCTACTGTTGTCTTTAAGTCAACTCATTTTTAATATATGCTAACACTACGACCTCATCCCAAGTGATAACACCCATGAAATCACAGTATGTGACTTCACATAATTATTACTCCATACCAGTTTGACTAGCATTATGTTGCTTACCATCGGAGACCCACAGACCTCAGAGATAAACACGGTTAACTCTGACCCACTGACCATCCATCCAAAACCAACCTAAGCTATGACCAGAAATGTGGCTCATGATCTTTTATTCTACTTCCTCTGACTTCAGTTTTCAAGAAAGATCTAGAATGGAATTAAGGAGACAAAGGTTTGGGTGTTATGATGATATTTCTGATTCATTTATTTCACTGTCCTATTTAGGGATTGTGAACACAACAATGTAGATAAACTGTCACTAAAAATATGCTTTCACAATATAAAAGAGCAAGTATAATCCAATGCCTTTGCAGATTCAATGGAAGTTGTAGTGACAGACCTGATTTTGGATAGAAGTTATTCACTTAATAAGCAAAGAAAACACTCTAACACCACAAGGGTCAACACAGCTGCCCCTACAGATCCTTCATATTTGCTACCAGGCTGATCTTCAAATACAGAGAAGAAAACAGCTCTGAGAAATGTTTTTGACAACTTCCACCCAAATACTCCAACAGGCTCTAGTAGAACTTGTGTCCTGTGTAACCACTTCTTAAACCTTGAAACAGACTCGGAACCATGACATATCCCATCCATCTCACCAGTCCGTCAACATAAATCTCTCAGATGGGTCCTTTGCAAAGGCTGCGACAATCTGTATTTTTAGCTGCATGGTTCCTGTCTGTTTTTTCAGTCATTCAAAAAAAAATGCCTATTGAGAATCCTTTGTGTTTTAGACTCTAAACTACAGGTACTGGTGAACAAATAGACATTATGGATAATGCCCATTATAATCATAACTGAAATGCTGTCTCCAGATAGCTTATTTGACCATAACAATATATTACATATGAGAAAGCCTTCTAAACCCACCCACCTACCCATCTATATACTCTTTCATGTACTTACCCATTCATGCATCCATCCATCCACCCATCCATTCATCTATCCAACCACCCATCCACTTAGCCATCTATCTGTGCACCCATTTGTTCACCCGCCCATCCAGCCATCCTTCTATCCCCATCCAATCATCCGTCTCTCACTTATTCAACA